AATTGATCTATTGGCAGGGCATACTAATAAAAAGTGGTATTCGTTTCCAACACACTGCATTTTACAACATTTGCACAAACGTAATTCTTGAGCCATATTAGTATATCATCCTGTTGCAATGTTCAGCTTTCGTGTACCACTACGCAATTTAGTTAAAACGTATGAATTATAACAGTAATCGTAACTTAATATTCTTATAAATACTAAGTGTTTTGGCCACTTTCTACTGATGCTAACCCGCTTTGTAAATACTGATCTTCAATCCTATTCTTAATAACATCAATATATTCATTATTATTTCTATGTTTTCAACGCTTTTCTATTCATAGTCCCATCAGCAGGAGGTATAGAAGGTCCTTCCTAGTTATTGGGTAGTATAGTTTATCATGATTAATTTAATGTGTTGCTTTACTTAACCAGACTAGCTAGATCAGTTGAAGAATTAGAACCGTCTTTATATAGATTAAAGTTGACAGCTTTTTTTTTTATTTTGTTGACGGTTTGTAGTGCTGGCATTGAATCGATAGAGTATTTAAGCTGACAAATTTCATGTTCTTGTTTCTAAAGTGCGGTTTATATAACGGATGTGATTGCTTATTTCCTCACGGTACTTGTTTCAAAAATATGTCATCATCAGAAATTGTTCTACATTAAAGATATATATATATATATATATATATATATAGATCACCCCCGGTTTTTGGTAGGGGTTCGTGTTGCTCAGTCTTTGGTTTTCTATGTTGTTTTGTGTACTGTTGTTTGTCTGTTTGTCTTTTTCTTTTTTAGCCATAGCCTTTTTAGTTTGTGTTCGACTTGTGAGTTTGACTGTCCCTCTGGTATCTTTCGCCCCTCTTTTGGTATCCTTCGCCTCTCTCTTGTTAGTAAGGTGGAATCTCAAGCAAACTTAATTTATATCCAGGATATTTCTTTAAAAGATCAGTAACTTCTTGGTTGTTATTAACTATCGTTTTTACATAATCTTCTGTTTTAAATCTGAGTTACTGTGACTATCATAAATAGTTATATCATACACATAGGGCAATGTTGTTTATATGGCCAATTTTAAGATCTAAGTTTTCCTTCAACCATTCTTGAGAGTAATAGCAATGTACGATCTAATTGACTCCACCATTTAGACTATTTTCTACTAAATTGAAAAGTATTGTTCTACATAGTTTCCTTTACTGTCTGTAAAGATTACTGATGATAACCGTTTTTTACCTGTTGCTATCTCAAATGACTCGGCAAGGTATGTCAAAAGTTTATGTTTAGTTATGAATATACAATAAGCTCAATAAATCTATATATTCCTCTACAATATTCTTTGACACGTCAGCACAAATACAATAAAAATCGGAATGTTTTAAAGTTTAGATTATTCATATATATGTACAATACTATATTATTCTACGCTATTATATACAGCTGTGAAAAGCAAAAGCAGGAAAAGCATTCGGGAACAACAGGTAGTTCATGCTAGTATGTGCAAAAAGCAAGTTAAGCACTAAAATGTTTTAGAAATTAATTAATTCAAGTAAAACTTCACCAGCCCATTATCATTGATATATATGGTCATAATTATAAGTTAAATATTTACACAACTTTGATTTTTTTTTCGAAAGACTACGGATTTTCTACCCCAGGAGTAGATCACCTTTAAGTTAGCTTTATTTGTCAAAACCTTTCGGAATGTTTGGTTCTCGATGCTCTTCAACTTCGTACTTTATTTGGCCTCTTAAACTCGTTGATTCGAGCGTCACTGACGAGTCTTATAGACGAAACGCGCGTCTGGCGTACACAATTTTAATCCTTGTATCTATATGATGACTTTATTTGCAGAATATAAGAGTATATGCATATATCATAAACACTAGCTTAATTGTTTTAAGATAGCAATATGGATTAAATTACGGCGTCAGTGGTTTACCGATGTTCAAATCTCGTACATTGATTACGAAGAGACAAATCAAGGTAACAAACAAAAACTGAGGGAAAAGCATGAACTCCAAAAGGAGAACGAACAGTTGCGTGGAAAGGGTAAGCGTTTCTCTATATAGACTTCTACCCAGTAGCCTGCACCTCGGTGTAACTGTTGGGAGAGTGAACGGTTGCGTGGACAGGGTAAGCGTTTCTCTATATAGACTTCTACCCAGTAGCCAGCACCTCGTTGTAACAGTTGGCATGAAATACGGATATTGTGTTCTAAAAATTTGCTGTTACAAAATTTTGGAAATTGTTTTGAACTAAGGAATATATCTCCCTCGTTCAAAGCTTTGATTCCTTGCCCGGCTTTGGCTATACCTCTCTCGTTCAAAGCTTTGATTCCTTGCCCGGCTTTGGCTATACCTCTCTCGTTCAAAGCTTTGATTCCTTGCCCGGCTTTGGCTATACCTCTCTCGTTCAAAGCTTTGATTCCTTGCCCGGCTTTGGCTATACCTTCTGTCATTTTTGATTTATCAGCTCTTCGATGTATTTAAATAAAGTTTGGATTTTCACATTTTTGTCTTGCATTACTGAAGAGACATTTGGTTTGAGAAAATATCTACTTTATATAAAATATTTGCAGTACACAATAGACATTTGTATCACAAACAACCTGATATTTATAGACGGTCATTAAGAAGAAAATGAATAAACGAAGTTTTGAATGGAATATATTTACTGTATAGATAAAATTACCATTTGGGTTACTTTAACTTCGAACTTCTTAATATGTTCATGTCTGGCGGTATAACCATATTGCAAGAAACTTTTATTCTAGAATTATAAATACTACATGTATTATTTTTTGTAATTTGATCTTCATTGACAGTTCAAAGAGTTCTATAAATTCATAAAAATTCGATACACCCCCAAATTACATATAATTATACTTCGCCCCAATCCAAACATGTATCTATTAAAGATTTCACTTTCAAGTTGGATACATGTACTTGTGTTTGTATTTAGTTATTCTATCTATGGGAATATACTGTTCTCTAAATATGTCGTTTTACAAGTGTACATGTCCGATATTATTGTTTTTGTATTAATTATCAAATAAAACATATTATAGTTCTCCAATCAAATCATTTATGAGTATTAAAGGTAAGCGATAAACTACGTAATACAATGCCTTTAGGCCCAACATGACGAGTTCAGTGATTGATAGTATTTGACAGTTGTCTTATGGATCCCCGTTCATCTCTGCTATAGGCTACGACCATCATTCTTACTTCTTAAGAAAAATACAAAGCTGCTCAACACATTACTATTTTATTATATTGTTTATTTTCTGTTTCCTTTTATCAAATATGATATGGATGTTCTGTTAATTCATAAGTGAAGATATATACACTCGTAAAAGGACAAAAAAGTTAAATCGTTCCGCTTTGATTCACACCTGGATAAAGCACGTGTTTACAGGTGAATTTTGTATGTACCTATGGTCATTTGTAAACTTCTAAAGATTAAGAATAGTTTGTGATTATTGACAAATGATAATGAGAGAATAAGAATCATAATTGGATCCGTTTAATGAAGATATATTGACATTATGGATTACTCATCAAATTTGTTTAGAGTACAAATAGTTATTGTGATTGTATTGACAGTTATTTTACATTATACGAATGCTAAAAATTCTTCACAAGGTAAGACATAATGTCCTATTAAGTTGCGGTTTTGTATTCGCATCTAAATTATATTATCCATGCATGCTGAGGTGCTGGGAAACTTTGATTTCCTTACCTGTATATCCCAAACGGCATTATTGCGTCTTTATTGTATAAGTGAAATTTGGGAATTCAACTGAGGGGATTTTAGAACTGGAGACAATAATATTAGAGGCGGATTAGGGGCGCCCCCTCCTTATGGAGCTACATATAAGGTTAATGCTTATATAGACTTTTTACATGTCCCAGCCCAGACGTTGCCTAGTTTGCCACCTCCCTTTTTAATCCTGGATCCGCATCTAAGTATTTTTTTAGTAAAAGGAGATAATGGGAATACGTCCATGGGAGGGTTTATACATAACATCATCAATTACCAAAAGGCATCTTTATATAGATGTTATGAATTATAATTGATTCAATTTGATGACGAAGACTATCCAATATGCTATCTAAATATTCGTTTTTCATTGAATGTAAATATAAATGTTCAGTGCACTCAAACTGGTAAAGTTCGGAAATTTAAACTGTTACAGTAGAAAAATTACCAAAATTTCTTTTGTATAGTGCATGCATTAAGTAGCAGCTGCAGTTTTATAATTATGTGGACCTGTTTGTTGAAAGGTGTTAGATAACTGGATTCCGAATTTATAATTCCATGTTACTACTACTTCCGCTATCAGTTCAATGAATACGATGACTTTACCGCATGATGTAAGTGAAGTTAATTGTCACACACACAATCAACGTTAACTTTTTGAAAATGTTAGCATGGTTTCGCAAAACAACTTCATCTGTGATCGCAGAAAATGTCTTCTGTGAACAAACAGAATATTTTTTTTAAACCAAACGATTTAGCAATAGTTGATATCCTAATGTAAGCTTTTAAAAAGGAAATTATTCTAGCAAGATGGACTCAACAAACACGTTTTCACACATCTGTATTCGTAATGGTTATATATATATATATATTATGATGAATTCCTTAGTACTGACAGCTATTGTTTTGTAACATGTAAGCATTTGCCCTATCGAAATATTGAATGTTTATCTATAATGTTAAACACCAACATTCTGGCATCTTCTGAGAAAACTTGCAGATTGTTATTCATAATTTAAGTTGCATAATTCGTTTTGTTGGAAGTCTTAACACAAACTTTCCTAAACGTGACAGTATATATTTACACATTCCTGGCTTGCAAATTTTTAGGTTTGAGCGTTCCCGAGGAAAATAAATCCAGAAAACCTCATCGGGCACACGAAGTTTACGAAGAGTTATTTTCATTTAGTACAATGCCATGCTGTTATGAAAGCAATTGAGTGTTTACTTCTTGTTTTCCCAAGCGTCGAATGGATGGTAATCAGTTAGAGTATGAAGCAAAAATAAAAAGTGAAGTCGTTTAAGGATACATTTCAACGTTTGATAGCTGAATGCTTTAGGTGTTTCTCTGTTCATAAACTACGGTGTTTTATAACTTTCTACTTAAAAGATTCCCGAATGATGATAATGTGGCCATTAAGCAATTACTCGCCCAAAGAAAAATGCAGAAACGGTTAAACGAAAAAACAAATTTTTCTTTTTTTTTTGGGGGGGGGGGGGGAGTAATGATTGGGGAGGAAATTAGTTTGAAACTTTATATAGTATAAACCTTTGTTAGGAATTTTGGTACGCCCTTTGTTAATCTTTTCATCTTACTTATTGTTTTCGACGTCTTCCGGAATGTGATTTCTTAGTCAATGCTTACAACAACTAGCGCATAACAATTAGTTAATTACAGTTTTGATTTTCTTTTTTTATGTATTTGCACACATTCTAACCAAAACAAGACAAAGGAGTTCAGTTTAGACCTTTATATAGTTATATGATTGATCATTATTGATATCTATTGTCTTATATACGATTAATTGGTCTATTGTGGATACTATTAGATATATGACGCAAATATATTGCACTTAACTTGTGAAATGGATTTTAAAAAAAGATTTCAGGGGATGAATAACGTTTTTAATTAAACACCTCAAATTGAACTCCAATAGTTTGATCTTGAACAAGAAAGAAACTTTACTTTCGTGTGGTATTTCCCTACCCAACATAAATGGCATATGGAACCTGTTTCAGTGGTCGTTTGTTGATTTTGTTCTTAAGTGTTTCTCGTTTTGTATATAGATTAGACCGTTGGTTTTCCTGTTTGAATTGTTTTACACTAGTCATTGTGGTGCCCTTTATAGCTTGCTTTTCGGTGTGAGCCAAGTCTCCATGTTGAAGGCCGTACTTTGACCTATAATTGTTTACTTTTTACACATTGTGACTTGGATGGAGAGTGTCTCATTGGCACTCATACCACATCTTATTTCTATATACGCGAATAAGTTCATGATTTTTCATGATGAAAACAGTGTTTGAAAGAAAATATTATTGATTTTTTTCCAAAAATTAAAAGTTTGACTTATTAAACTTCGCTCCCTGAAACCTTTTTTTTTCTTCTTTCCGAAACCTTTTTACGCAGGTCACTGTTGTGTGGTTAAAAAAGAAAAAGATATGTAGGCTCCCTAATAATGTCTATTTGACCAAGGAAACCCTACAACACTGTTCCACATGTTCAGCTTTTTATCCTTAAATTATATAGAATTCGTAAAAAGTGTATTGTATTTGGACTAATTTACATTTTCACTGCGACAATATGAGATATAGACAACAAAGACCAGTGTTGATTGATTGATTGTTGTTTGCTTATTGTTCAGTGGCAAATATTACATGCATGTTAAGGATGATAACAAATTAACAATACATACAATAGGTAGGTTCGGCAAATACAATGGCCGACCTGGAAATTTGGACTGCCATTGGGAAATGAGGACATGTTAGATAGGGACAGACATTTTTTTCTGTTTGACCTATCTTTAATGTGCAGTGAGCCTGACACACTCTCTACACGAGGCATCGTTTATCAGACGTTGCTGCGAATTTATACATCCACACAAACAAACGGACGCCCCACTTTTAAAAGGGTTTTACTGTCGGTTAAGAAAAGACCAAGTGTCCATATTTCGCTACCCAAGTGACCCTTGTGTTGACTAGTGTTTAATTTGTTAATAAATTATATTCATTTTACTCTTTGAGCATATCGTCTTATAGCTCAACGAAGGTAGGATGTTTGTCATGATTTGCGGTTGGTAATAATATATTGTGATTCAATTGTGTTATTCAACAGCACAAGCTATGCCTATATTGATTGGTCACAGTACCTCTAGTTTTCAGCTATATTCAGGACGATAATGCGTTATATAATGTCATATGAATATGAATCCAGCCATATATATATAAAAAGTATTGTTTTGTTTAAGGACCAGAGATTTTTAAAATTTCTACATGCCGCCCTCAAGGTCACACCGATATCTACTAAGGTGGTTCATATAAGTAGAAGGTTAGGTCAGCATGGGGATCATTTTATGCTGCCCTTTTGATTTACCAGCTTGTCAGACATTAATATTAAAGTTCTTTAAAACACTTATATCGTATTGTATGTACGTTTGTGATGTGAAAATATCGAGAGGGGGCTGTAATCCTCTTTATCTTGAAACTACCATGGAATGTATTTTGGACCAACAGGATTTTCCGTTCAGAAGTCATATCAGATGATGTTTATTATGAAATTATTTAACGACATATAGTTGTAAGTTTAAATCCTGATCCTGTAACTATGACTCTGACTGTACACACAAGAAGAATGCATGTCATAAAATGTATTGTTTGTCTTGTGATGTTGTGCATCCTGTACATACTTGTGTTTTACGATGTCGATGATATAGATCCTGTTTTAGTATGTTTGACTGTGTGGCATCATAAATCAAAAATATTTGGTAAACAAATACCTTTATTTTTTATAAAGCATACATCATCATTTATTTTACTGATGCATTTAAACTTCATTCATCATTTTAAAAACATTCTAATGTTTTCAAGGTGTTTAAAACAAAACTTTTATAAAGTATTTCCTGAATTATGTATGATATACGTTTTACCTCAAAATAATCAGTGTTACCATAAAATGAAATATAAACATACATAGTAATGTTTTACCTTTGGTCAAATATATTCATTTTATAAAGTTTATTTTAACATTTCCAAAAATAATGACCCATTTTAAGTTAAAGGCCTTGTTAACAATTTTACTTTCTGGTATGAACTACTTTGTCATTGGCATTCTTTATATTCTTCAACTGTTGTACGAGGACACGCTTGTTCAAGTCTGACAAATCTGGTTTCAGCAATATAACTGATCGTAAAACATCTACTTTACCTTTACATATAAAATGTATACCATTATACAACATTTGTTAAGTTGGCGAGAAATAATGTTAGAAAAGGCATAATATTTTCCTATCCTTATGGCAATATTTATAACGTCCTTGACACGTTTTGCAAGTACATCTGTGGACTGAAGTAATCTTATATAAGGATATTGAGGAATATTGAATAACATCAGTTATTATACACCAGTCAAACGTGTTGTCGATTACAATGTTACTCTCCCCGACTCTTCTGTAAACAATAAACTGTTTTTGTGCAATTTAGTGAGTTTATTGATATCATTGTTGTATACTGTTACTTTCCCCGACTCTTCTGTAAACAATTAACTGTTTTTTGTACAATTTATTGAGTTTATTGATATCATTGTTGTAGACTGTTACTCTCCCCGACTCTTCTGTAAACAATAAACTGTTTTTTGTACAATTTAGTGAGTTTATTGATATCATTGTTGTAGACTGTTACTCTCCCCGACTCTTCTGTAAACAATAAACTGGTTTTTTTTTTTTTGTACAATTTAGTGAGTTTATTGATATCATAGTGGTAGACTGTTGTTTGTCGTTTTTTGTCATGGCGTTGTCGGTTGGTCTTCGGTAACCTCCGCCTCTCTTGTATCGCTGTAAACTTTCTCTTGGTTTAGCAACTATATTTTTTTAATCAGAGTTCTGTTATGCGATTTATCACAAATCAATTGTTAGCAGTTCGCCCTCCTCGTATTTGATGACACGGAGACTAGGATTTTCTGTTGTTTTTTATTTTATGTTAATCGATGTTGAATAATAGATTGCATTATTTTTTTTTACTTTTCTTCACTATATACCAAGAGAAGAAAGATTGAGACGTAGAAATCACATGTTCTCAATCATTAATGTCACTAGATATAAGGTGTGCATGACATTTTAACACAATTTTCTACTTATGTGTTGTTAGACGTGTTATTAACTTGAGATGATCTTAGTAAAAGCAAAACTGTATTGTTGTCGATAATTCCCCTCTTTCGTCTTTCCTAATTTTGTAACGACATGATTAATTTGGCTAGGTATTGAGACAAATATTTTTATATGCAAAGTTTTTAGTAAAATGGGTATTACAAGAAGAGAAAGTAGATACCAAAGTAGTAATTGAAACACATAAATCGAATAAAAAAACAAACAGCAGCATGACCCAAACGAAAATACGATGAAGAGAAAACGATTGAACAAAATGGACCCTTACCAAAACCGGGCATAAAGTCTAGTGATCCTTTAGGTTGACCAATTATATCTTCTCTAGCGGCACCTGTCATGTAACTCATTGGAAGGGGAAATTTTGTGGTAGTCTCGTTCGGTGATTTCACAATTGTGGAAAATAGGAAGGGATTGCGGTTTCGAAAAGTGGAACATATACGTAATAATCTTATAATAAACCCAAGCCCGGGAATATCGTATAGACTAGGGAAAATATACTCAACATACAGGTGTTAGTAGAATAAATGTTCGTACACAGAAATGGAAAGCTCACAAGGGGGATGTTGATATCATTTCTTAAATTTAGTTCTCAATCGATCCCAATTGATAATTACTAGATATCAGTCCAGATATAAACAGAACTGTTTCTGTTATCCGATATTTCAAGTTCAATGGGATAGATGCGATCACAATAGTCACCAGAGTTTGAATTATTTAGTGAAAAGACATTTTCTGTATAGCGAAATATAACTTCGTTAAATTTTTCTAGAAGCTCCTGTATAAATTGTGCCTCATAAGAACAAGCCGGCAAGCAGGGTTGTATATCGTTCGTTTTATTACAAACGGGACCTTGACAATGTCATTCATGAACAGTAGAGGGAATAAGATTGGGTTATGCAAATCACTTTAACACCATTGTTTTAAACTGTACCAAATCAGAACAAATTGCACTTTTTATGAATAATTTGTCAATGTACAATTTTTATTTTTGTGAAAGTGGTTTGGGTGTATGAAATTATAAGTGGTCGCGAATTTAATCTATCTTATTGTTTGGCAGACTATATATGAATCACGATGACTGCTTGTTCATAATTTTGAGTA